TTGCAACCGTGCTAGAACGGGATGCAGGAACTTCTTTGTTTGAGGTCTCCAAAAAGACGTGTTCTGATTGTTTTGTCCTGCTTCAAACCGTGCTCGCACGGGATGCAGAGAATTCGACTCTTTTTGTTTGGGCAGCTCGGCCTCAAATTTAGTTAGTTCTTCCTGTTCTGCCCTGCTTGCAACCGTGCTAGAACGGGATGCAGGATTTTCTTTGTTTGAGGCGGTTCGACCCCAAGTGGTTATGTTGCTGTTGTTTTTCCCTGTTTCGAACCGTCCTAGACGGGATGCAGGGTCTTTTATTAGTCTGAGGCGGTTCGGCCCCCAAGTAGGTAACACTGTCGGTGTTAACCGGGTATCTCGCTCAGACAATACAACAGACAGCAACTTTTATTAAAAACACAACGACGGTAACACGGTTAGATGTACCGCAGGCAAAACACGACAACAAGATTACGACAAATCAGAGCTTCAGAACAGAAGTAACAACGATGAACTATAAGAACAAAGAGGAATGACAGCGGTAAGAGAGACCTCAAGGGAAAGACCGGGGTTGCTTGGAAATGGCCGACGCGGAATAATGAATCCTAATCTCATCCACAAGGGGTTTATATATAGGGCCGCCACATGGGTTAGGAATCATGAACGAACAGGGTAAACGCGGCTAACATGTTGGCACCGAACACGATCAGCGTTCAGTTCAATCAGAAGGCGATCAATCAGAAGGCATGTGAAAATGGGTAATAACGTGATATCTTCCCCGCCGGGTGAAGCGGCGTCCTCGACGCTTCGGAGCTTGACTGGGTCAGTGGGATCCTCTTCCACGTCGAAATCGGTGTCCTCTGGTTGGGAAGGTGAACGTCGCTGATGTCCTCGTATATGGTTGTGCGGTTCCGGGACGGTACTGGTTGAAATTCCTGAATGCACGATGATGATATCCTTCGTGTTTGCGTTTCTCTTTCTTTTCCTCGAAATATCTTGCGCACCCTGTCGGCTCTTGCTGATCTCATCGTTTTTTCGAATAACTTGGGAAGTTGCACTTCTGATTTTATGTATTCTATCATGGCCTCCAGGTACTCGAGACATTGTTTCTGTCGAATATGCTTCAAGGCTGCCTCTCCTCGGGTGTGCTGCGGGTCCGTGTGATGGCTCAGTGCCGCTTTCAATTACTGGAATCAGGCTTGTGATGTTACGTGACATCAAAGCGGCTGACTTCTTTGCGAGATCCACGGCCTGGTTCATTTCGATTCTATTCTGAGCGTAAGCCGCGTCTCCACGTGGTGGCGCCAGGACGATAACTCTGGTTCCATTGCGAGCCGCTGCGGCTAAAGCTGAGGCGAATCTACACCACTCTTTCTTTGGCGGAGTGACATCCAGTGTTGGACCCACTACAATACAAGTATTCGCAGACACTTGTTTCCAAGAATCCGCTGACTTCATAGAACTTGTAGTATACTTTTCTTTCGACGTTGTGCTGCGGCTTGAACGCTGAGTTCACGTTTCTGAATCCATCCGGTAACAGCAATAATGTCGTATGTTGTCGTTGCGTTTCGCAACGATTTCCTTCCACGAATTCATCTTGGCGAATTTTACTCCTTCGTTGTTGAGATCGTTGAGTTGATTTATTGGAAAACCCGTACCGCCATCGTGGGGTAAGCTAAGGAGAGATCCATCATGCAATGCCAAGCTACGGAACACATGATCACAACAATGCTTATAGAATGTGAATGCTTTTTGAGATCCTGTGGCAGTTATGAATGGAAACTTAGAATCAGTCATCAAAAAGCGTCTACTATCGTCATTGCGTTCACTTTCGTAAATTGAAATGAGACGAGCTAAACTAAAAATCGTATCAAAGCGGATTTCGCCAATGGTTTCTGCTGCTTCTGGAATCACATCTTTGAAGCGCTTTTCTCGAATCGAACAATTGAAATTGCTAGGAGTACCGTCTCGACTATGAACTCTGCCAGGGCACCGGAAAAAGAACCCAAGTGGTTCATTGCTTACCATCGCCATCGAGCGTGGCCCTGCAAGACGTGTACTTTACAGCTTTATGTCTACGTTTAATTCTTTTTGTTTTTGTTTCTAATGGTATGTTGTGTATCTCTGGAGGCAAAACTATGAGTGAGTCAAAAGGAACTCTAATTGGTTCTTCTTTCTCGTTAATGTGCGACAAAAGTGCGGAGTTTTCAGTGGTTTCGATCACCCGATAGGGGCCACCCCAAGGTTCACACAGTTTTGGGAACGCCCTGCTGTACTTTTCTCGTGGAAGCTTCAAGAAAACTCGGTCTCCTACTTTCGGAAGTTTTTCTGGATCGGTTTTATTACGTTTATCATATGCCTCTTTCATTCTTTGTTTGTACTTTTCCATTGAATTCGCGGGCACACTCTTGCGCGAGTCGAATCCCCGTCAATAGCTCGTACTTGTAGTCATCTCATATCCATGTGGTTGAACGATAGTTTATCACGAGGAATTACGTTAGATGGACAATTTGGGTCCATGGCGTGTAACAAGAAAAAGGGGCTCTCACCCGTGGCATCATGAGGTGCACAGTTGTAGGCAAATACTACCATAGGGAGGAAGCAGATCCCAGTCGTCCGGAACAATAGTATTTTTCCTTAGCATTCTCGTTAGCGTACCAATTACACGCTTCCGTCATTCCATTTTCACGGGGGTTGTAGCCCTTAGTTGTGGATTGTTCAATTCCTGTTATCTCACATATATCTGACAGGACAGTATTGATGAACTCTGGCCCTTGATCTGAATGTATACGCTTTGGCCATCTGCAACCATCGCAAATCCAGCGCTCAAACAGTACGCGAGGCTACTGTTCTTGCGGCCTTATCAGGAATGGCGTACGCTCCGGCAAATTTCGTGAAGTGGTCCACCACTACCAGGGCGTATTTATTCCCTCTTTCCGGTTAGTCCATACTCTACTAAATCTATTCCGATCAATTCAAATGGTGCCTTCGTGGTGAAGGGCTTCAAAGGTGGAGTGTGCACTTCATGTGCTCTCGATAGAAAACAGTTTGCGCACTCTCCTTGACCATTTTGCGATATCATTTTCCATGCCCTCCCAGAAAACTACTTTTTTCAGTTTGCGATAGAGTTTACGGGCATTTAGATGTCCCACTAACAGACCTTCATGAGCTTCTGTTGAACAGCTCTTTTCTCTTGGATTTAGGGACTATCCTCACTGTGCTGTCTTCCAGGATTAATTTAAGCTCGCCATCTTCAATGAAAAAGTCGGCCACCCGAAATTTTCGAGAGCATCTTGGCAATTTGACGTCTTTGTGATCGTCGTTTGCTTTAATGCCCTCGAGAATCTCCTTATAGTCCTTATCTTCTCTGAGTTCTTTCAACCAGTCACTATCTTGTGCTGCCACTTCGCAGATCACTATACTTGGACTTTCTTCTTCAGCTGGGTTGTCGTCTTCTGGTAAGCTTGAGGCGCTACGAGACAGTGCGTCAGCCACTGCGTTAGCTTTTCCGGTCACATATTCGATTTTCAGTCGATAATTTTGGACTTCTAGGGCCCATCGCAGGACTCTTGCCGAAATATTTGTTCGTTTGAATAGGCAGGTTAGTGGTTGATGGTCTGTTCGTACCACCACATTCGAGCCATAAACAAAAAAATGAAATTTCTTAAGGGCAAATACCACTGCTAGAGCTTCTAAATCCGTTATATGATAGTTTCTCTCTGCTTTCGTGAGGGCTTTAGAGGCGAAGAAGATGGGATGAAGAAGGTGATCATCTCCCATCTGACATAGAACTGCTCCTACTCCTTCTTTTGAAGCGTCTGTATAGATGATGAACGGTCGGGAGCTGTCTTCCGCTGCCTTTACATTTGGCTGTGCCAACACTGGTGCCGACGTTAGTGCCCTTTTTAAGGATTCGAAACTTTTTGATTCTTCCTCAGTCCATTTCCACGTGTTTTTAGGGCTGGTTAGGTTGTATAGACATTTCGCTTGCTTGGAGAAACCGGCTATGAATTTTCTGTAGTATGATGTCATGCCGAGAAATGTCCTTAATTCCGCCAGATTCCTGGGTGTTGGATATTCTACAATTTTTCTCACCTTGTCCGGGTCTGTTCTGACTCCTTGTTTGTCTATCAAGTGCCCCAGAAAAGACACGCCTTCCTTGAAGAATTCGCATTTTTGGGGTTTTAGGCGCAGATTTGCTTTGCGAAGCGCTTCCAACACCGTTTTCAAGACAGCATAATGGCGCTCTGTTGATTCGGTGGCCACTAGTATATCGTCTATGTAAACAAAAACCTCGTCTTCCAAGCCCAAGCCTTTTAGGACCATGTCCATCATTCGCTGAAAGACAGCTGGGCTGGTTGAGAGCCCAAACGGCAATACAGTGAATTGATATAACCCTTCACTTGTTGTGAAGGCACTTTTAAGTTTCGCTTCCTCGGAGAGACGGATTTGCCAATAGCCTGAGGCTAAATCCATTGTGGAGAATACCTTCTTTCCGCTCAAACACTGCAGCACTGTGTCAATTTTCGGCAGCGGATAAGAATCTTGTCGAGTGATCTTGTTCAACTCCCTGTAATCGATACAGATTCTTAAGGAGCCATCCTTTTTCTTAACCAGTACAACGGGAGAAGCCCATTCGGAGCAGCTTTGCTCTACTATGCCACGGTTCACAAGGTCTTTTAGCAGTCCTCTGAATTCTTTGCGCGCAGCGAATGGCACTGGTCTTGTCTTCTGCTTTATAGGCTTGTGATCCCCAGTGTCTATATCATGGACCACTAGGTCGGTCTGCGTTAACTCCGAATCTGTAACGGCGAATACATCGCTAAATTTCGACAACAATTTGACTGCTTCATCCGTGAGCTTTGACTTTTCTCTGAGTATCTCCAGTAAGTCTTCGGAAGCCGATTGTTTTGCAAATCCTTTTTGCTAGGCTTATTCATGTCTAACATGTCCCTATCTGGCTCGAAATGTTTGGGTTTGATCCACTCCTCATTTTTCCACTCTCCAACAACTTCTCCTTTCCGAAGCACTACGCCTTGTGTTGTGTTGTTGGTTATTGGTATGGCTGTTTCTTTGTTATTGATGCTACATATGCCATCCGATATGAGAGGATGGTGCGAAACCAGGACTGATGTTGCTGAGTGGTCAATGTGAGCGCAAGACACATCTATAAACTTTGTCGCTCCTGGAGGTATGAACGTTCTCTGTATAACTTCGGCTTTCACTCCATCCCTTTCAGTTTTACTGCGAGTTTCAGGGTTACGTATCTTTTGTGGCTTTTCCACGCCCACTTCTTGCACTAGTTTGATCTTGAAACGCTCTAATGCGTTGGTTCCCAGAATTACTGTGTCATCCATGGTCCTTCCCACGTAAGCTGGGATTGATTCTTCCATTCCATTGAGTGTTATCGAGACTCTGATTAAGTCCAAGAACGTCATTTGATTGCCTGATGCGTCTTTCATTTTCACTTCCAGAAACGGTAGTCTTTCCACATAAACATCGAGATTTATCCCTGACTCTATTGCTTTTTTGAGCAGTTTCACAGGGATTATCGTTGACTGTGATCCCGTGTCCAGTAGTGCATCTGTTTTCATTCCGAAGATAGTTATGGTGGCCACTGATCTTTTGCCGAAGTATTCGTTTATATCTATGTCGGTCTTCGTTTCCGTTGTGCAGATCCACTTATCAACAACGGACGCGTAGGCTCCTGCAGCTTTTTTAGCCTCTTCTGATGAAGAATACGATTTTTTCTGCTCCACTGGAGAGCGGCAATCCCGAGCGAAATGGCCAGGTTTACCACAGTTGAAGCATGGATGCGAATCTTTTCCCGATATAGTCTTGTTGTGTTGACTATTTCTTTTCTCTTTACGTGAGTTTCCTTGTGCTTTGTTTTTATCTGCTTCCGCTCTAGTGGGCAATAGAGGAGGTCTGGGTTCATCACTGCGCTGTTCCCACCTCACTTGACTCCGATATGTAGGCTTGATTCTAGCAGGGGTTCTACACTCCTCTGCCGTTTTGATGCTTCTTTCTAAACGAAGAGCGGTTTCTTTTACTTTTTCGTAGACTTCTGCTGTTGTGCTGGTCTCCAAGGCTTCTGTCAGGCAGTAGCTACCAGCCCAATTTGCAAGTTGCCTACGTAAAATTTCTGCTTTTTGCAGCGCGGTCACATCAGGTGGTACATCTGGGTAGGCTTTGTTTGATAGGCGTTCTAACACCAGACAAAATTCTGCAACTGTTTGCCCATCTCTTATCGCTAGCTTTCTCTTAGGTCAGACAAAGCCCTAACTCTCTCACTGTTCCCATCAACTCGCATGCGCTTTTTCATTGCCTCAATAGCATCGTCGAATGAACCTTCACGAACTTCTCTTGGCAAGGTTTCGAACATAGTGAGCGCGTCTCTACGCAAAAAGCTTTGAAATAATTGTAAACGACTTGAATCTTTCCATTTGTTCCTTGGGTACTTAATTTCAAATGATGATAGAAACCTTTTGAAACACTCATGAGGTTTCCCTCCAAAGGGGTGAACATCAGGTAATGACATTGTTCTTATATAATCACTCATAGAAAATTCAGAAATCTGGTCCTCGCCTGTGTCCAATGTAGTCGAGTTCTGCGTGCGTTCTCTGAGTCTTCGTTCAGCATACTCCTTGAGTATCTGCGGGTCGATCGCATCAAGGTCGATGTTGCGAGTCCTGCAGTAAAATATTTGGTATATGCTCGTTTCGTGAATCATATAGGGCAGTGAATGCGTTACCTTTATGAACTGCTTGAGTGTCGTCACTCTGTCTTTGTCTGCCTTCTACTTGGGAACTATTACCCAGGTCTTCCACTTTTCGGCGAAGTTGCTCGACCTGTAATTTTTGTTGGTGCATTTCACTATTCAGATTAAGATTGGTTCTTTTCAAGCTGTTCCATGTTGGCAAGGGTCTCGTCCAGTTTAGCGCTCACCTGATCTACAGGACAAGCCAACTTATGTGCTGCCTCTCTGCAAATGGACTCAATTTTTTCGAGGATGGCTAGCTTTTGCCCTATCTCTTTCAATCCTGTTCGCGCTAGTTCTTTCACTAATGCGCTTTGTTCATTAACTGCTGCTACTACTGAGTCCCTCCTTGGGTCGTCAGTTCGCATGGTTTTGGATAGTTCGCTATCACATGTTACCGCTACTGAGGCTATTTGTGATACTAGTGTTTGCTAAACTTTTCAAATTTTTCGAAGAAACTCACGCCAGCTTCTCCATGATCATCTATATCCATGTCCTCACGGAATTCTGCCTCTGACGGAGTTCTCAGCAGCTGATCGGAGTTTACTGGTGAGGCCATCACTGTCTGAAAGTGAATCTTGCTTATCTATTTGATAAGGATCACAACAATGACTATCTCGACACGAATCAATCAATGGAGATGAGAAACGGTAGGAATTCTCTCGCTCCGTATGAGATTACAGTGTCGTACTAATTGTCTGCTATTTGCCCACCCTTAAGTTGGAGCTTAGACTACAACTTCACCCGTTATTTCCTGTTCTGCCCTGCTTGCAACCGTGCTAGAACGGGATGCAGGAACTTCTTTGTTTGAGGTCTCCAAAAAGACGTGTTCTGATTGCTTTTGTCCTGCTTCAAACCGTGCTCGCACGGGATGCAGAGAATTCGACTTTTTTGTTTGGGCAGCTCGGCCTCAAATTTAGTTAGTTCTTCCTGTTCTGCCCTGCTTGCAACCGTGCTAGAACGGGATGCAGGATTTTCTTTGTTTGAGGTCTCCAAAAAGACGTGTTCTGATTGTTTTGTCCTGCTTCAAACCGTGCTCGCACGGGATGCAGAGGATTTCTGATTTGAGGCGGTTCGACCCCAAGTGGTTATGTTGCTGTTGTTTTTCCCTGTTTCGAACCGTCCTAGACGGGATGCAGGGTCTTTTATTAGTCTGAGGCGGTTCGGCCCCCAAGTAGGTAACACTGTCGGTGTTAACCGGGTATCTCGCTCAGACAATACAACAGACAGCAACTTTTATTAAAAACACAACGACGGTAACACGGTTAGATGTACCGCAGGCAAAACACGACAACAAGAACGACAAATCACACTGCCCACTCTGATGAAATCTACTGATGCCAGGCATTTCACAAATGCTCACAGTTCACGCTTATTCCTGACCTATCGAATGATGTGATGTTTACTGGCAACTTGAAAAGGGCTAAGCTACGGTTACATAGACGGTAGATAATAATGCTTTTTTTCAGGGGGCTTTACATAACGATCAACGACAACACTATTAGTAGGATCTATCAGATCCTCTCAAACGGCAACAACAAACGTTAGGGTAAGTTACCAATTAAGAGGTCTGCTCTGAGTTCTAGACATATCTATTCAGGCAATTGTGGTGACAGATGGCGAACGAATTTTGGGACTTGGTGATCTCGGCACTTACGGCATGGGTATCCCGATCGGTAAACTTGCGCTTTACGTGGCACTCGGTGGTGTTCGTCCTGAATGGTGTCTGCCAATTTTGATCGACTGTCGGGCACACAAATGAGTTTTCCACTATGCGATTCTTGATTGAACACGAATTGTTCATGTTAAGAATCGCTTGCAGAAACTCTCAAGGAATCCAAGTTTCTAACAGCGTCTGCGAAGAAAAGCGTGGTGGACAGGCATAGCTATAAACTTGGTTGGATAACGTTCATGAATAGCTTGCACCAAACCGGTATAGCTTATCAAAATAGGTGTAGCATTGGTCGAGGATTTCCTCGACCGTCACTCACCATGGTACAGGCTAATTAGGGTGAGCCAGTTACCCGGTCGGCTCTTCGGTGACCAGCTAGGATTTGCACTGAATCCTACCCACTTCTAGCATGACTACACTTTCGATCCTCAGCAAGCATAAGCGTCCATTAGGAAGTATAGGGGAGCGAGGTCGAGGGAAAGAAAGCGAGAGGTTAAGGTGTTCGCTAACGTGTGTCAAAAAAAATGAATGCGCAGAATGAGATCAAGGAAATGAAGATTAGCACGGATTCGAATGATAATGTCCTAAATAAATTCTATACCTAAGAAGAGCCAACAATGAGCTTGAGTAGTAAGATAAGAGTATCTTTGGTTTTACTGGTTTCTTGATTAGGCCTTTAATGAATAGAATGAACGCACAAAAAAGATAAGCAGTTTCGCTCACAAGACGTTGCGTTCTAGAAGAGATGTTTTCAGAGGAGAAATGCCACGTGAGTGTACAGATTGGGCTTTCTCCGCTGCCGTTATCAGCCCACTAAGGGTCACCGTTTTTGGGGAGATGATCAAAGTCAACCATTTCGGAAACGTGCAAACGGCGGGTCGTATTTGAGGAAGTAGTAAGATGGAGGATTGCGAGGAAAAAAGTCCTGTCAACGGGGTTTTTGGACCACTAGACGAAATTTCGCGGAAGAAACCAGCAATGACGACATGAGGGAATTTGCTTCTCTCTTTTTCATTTGAATAATATTACCTCCTCTCTGTTCGAGGCCACCTGTGCAGCATGTTCGAGAGAGTTGTGTGTGTCAGAATCACACTTGTTACAGAAAAAGCCATGATGTAAAGGCGAGAAGGAAGGGATGTGCGTGGTATGAGAGAACACCAAGTGATGATTGTGGTGAGGCTCTATCGAAACCCGCTGAAGAGAATGGGGGCTACAAATATCCTGGAAAGGTCCGTACACGACGGCTGACCATGATCTCGAGGGCAAATTCACGCAAAAGGCAAAATGGGTCAACAGTGGGAGCGAGAGAAGCGGAAAATGTCCTTTCAGCGGCGAATAAGCCTTAAAAACAAGTTTTTCTGTTCCAGGATTGGACCGAAAATGTTCCTGATTCAATATGAGGACTTTGGTAATTTGAACGCATATCGTTTGCTGGACAAATATAAGCACGTGTACAACATGTTCAACGATGACATACAAGGTGGGGTATCTTAATCAAGTCTGTCCATTTCATCCCATTGTGGAGATATTTTTACAAGGACGTGCTGGCGTCAGTGTGGTCTGTGACGACAAGAGTACGAAGATGAAGCTATGCGAGTATACAATATTATTCTTTGGTGCTGGAGGAGTAAGTTTCACATCGGAGTTTGTCAAGAATTCCAAACTCATAGAGGTTGCTGAAACGAAGGAGCTCTTTATTAAGTATCAGAGCTACAAGTGAATTGCTATGGACTGCTCCAAGGCAGATTCTCCGATTAGTCCTGCAGAAATTGGAAGTAGTGAATGGAGGGATGAATGTGTGCTAAAAGAGGCGCGATCCGTTGCCAATGACCCAAAGAAGGCAGTTCAGAACGCGCTTGTAAGAACCGCACAACCGCGGTAGCCACCTCACATGGCAGCCCGTTCTGCTTTTGTAACCTTCATATACCACTACTCTCGCTACTCTCATTGTTAGAGTTTTTCATACCGCCACTTCGTGGCTTCGCACTGAGCTCGAACTCTGCCTTTAAGAGTGGTCTTACCGATAGACCCACTTAAGCAGAGGTTCGGGCTAGAGACCACCTAATAAGCCCTTAAAGTGGCTAGAAGGTGCATAGGACGCAACTGCAGGCGACTCGCCAAGTTCCCGCATCCAAATGCGTCACTAAGGCGCTAGGGGCCAAGGACTTTGACACGCTCCACCTGTTGCGACACGCTCCGCCCACCGCTCGATATTTTGTCTGCGTCGCAATGCTGATCTGCTATGCTCTCTCTTCTCGGATTTCTCTACCGCTCTCCGCGCTCACATTATCTCTCATCTCCCTGCCGGCCTTTTGAACTTCTCCGCAACGTAGAGCAAAAGGCTCGTATTTCCTGTGTATTTCACGTTTTTTTCCTTTTTTCTCACTGGCGGTCCACCTCCGCCCCTACATCACATTTGAGTAGAATTACCTCATCAGTTTAAGCTTGAATCTTGCCTTTAAAGACGTAATTTACTCCTTCACGTGGGCGGAAGTGGTGCAGTGACAAGTGGCGCGCTCACCACGCGAGCGGTCCGGGATCAAATCCTGGGTCGTGAGTCGCCCGGGCCAACCAAGCCTTCCATCCCTCCGGGGTCGGTTAATTGGTACCAGACTTGTCTGGGAGGATAAAAACACTGACTTGAACATCGGCTGGCCCCCGCAAGTCATTGTATAGGCCACATCGCATTCAAATGCCACTGCGAATGTACAAATGGAAGTAGAATGCGTGCCGCATCCCAAAAAGGGATTGATCAACGGCAAATGCTTTATCCTTTATCCTTTTAAATTTGCGAGACGTTTCTACATTTCCTGGAGGAAGGCTAAGAGTTCTGTGCCGATGGTAACCCTTTAGAGTGAGAAAGGGAGGGGTCAAGATCAAAGAGCGCGGGCAAGGCGCAAGTCCCTACCTTCGTGCGGCGTCGTTAGCTGCCATTCCTATTCGCGAATACGGGTTGATGTCTGCCCATCGCATTCGCGTTCTTTTCGCGTTTGCCTTCTTCCTTCCTTTTTCTTTTTCTTCTCTGATTGTTCCTTCCGTCATACAATCATATCATACGTCTTCACAAAGGAAATTTCAGCGTTTTCTAAGGTGATTTTTGCTTTTTGTCCTCACTCATGCTCGCACATCTTTTTTAATCTTCGACATAATAACCCACTCTATCCCGACCCGTGCGTTTAATTGTAAGTCCTCCCTTCAATTTGATGTCACGCAGCATCTATCGTTCAGAATGTGTTTACAGTTGAGAACCCCATTGAGAGCGCTTTACTGATCTTACATCACTTCGATCCCTATAGGTAACGCCCTCCCATTTGGGGACTAAACCTGGTCTCAAACCGGGACGGAGCAGCGCTGCCAGCGAAGCAGCGGGCCGTCAGGATAGGCGCCAGTTAACTCAGTCCACGTAGTTTTCACGAACTTTGCGATTGAAAAAAAGATAGCTAGACTTATGAAAAAAAACAGCCTTTGAGCCGAATGCTGATTTTAGGCTGCCACTGGTGTTGCGGAAATGTGCGTGAGGGAAATGGTTGAGGAAGGCCTTACCGTGGAAGAAGCATGTGCGAAAATCTACATGATAGATATCGACGGTCTCATCACGAAAAGTCGCATGTCTAAACTAACACCGCGACATTATCCATTCGCAAAAGTAGGCGATTTGGTCCCTTCTGACTGGTACTGTGTCAAGTGAATAGTACTTCAACTCCTTTCGTCAGGACATAGGAGGAGACTAAAGACTTTACAATTGAAGTTGTCAAAAAGTCAGCTCATGCCATTGTTGGTAGAAGACCAGGTTTTTAACCGGGCACTTTCCATCGATGAATTGATCTAGAAAATTATTTAAGCTGCTATTCAACTCCTTTTTGCATCATTTCGTGCTCTCACTCCAATCACATCAACTTGGAAACAAATTTCAGTTTTTGCTGCGCAGTTTTAGAGTACACTCGAAATAAGTGTAATCAGTTTTCGCCCTTCACTCTAATAGGCCACGAGCTATAACGTGAAGGTCGTCCGAAAAAAAGAACCGTCGCATTTGAGCTAAAATTTCATACAGTGGGGAACAGTGGGTAAATCCGACAGGAGACCTGATCGCGCAGCAGGAGAGCAGCAGAGCAGACGAGCAGCGGACCGAGCTTCTGCGTTTTGTGATGTGATGAGGAGCGCAGCGAGTGAGACGGGAGGGCGGAATAACTAATATGGGATGCGCTACCGCAGTGGGTCGTCAGAATGTACAGAAAAAGCAATATGTCATAGAAAATTTTGCAAATAAGACCTCAACCCTTCCCATCGTAGGTCGCAATACCATGGTACAGACTGTCAAGCATTCGTGATGGAAAGAGGGCCGTATTGATTGATAATGGCAGTGCATTTTTTGCAAGAGAAGGAGATACAAGTAGGAGTCTTGGACGGAAGGTTAGAATATTTTGAAAATTGCAATTCACACACACAAATTGCCGAGTGTGGAAATTTACGGATAATTTCGAAATGCTCCTGTTGAGGAAACCCTACCTCCATTTTCGTGGGTCCATTTAATCCGGTCTGTGACTGAGTGTGAAACTTCAAAAGTGCCGATGTACGAAAAGATAACGAAACAAAGACAGTGGAATTGATAGTTGAGGAGAAGCGAGGCTCCTAGGTGCTGAAAGCGCGCAACTAGCACTAAAAGATCAGCCTCGGCATCGCAACTGGCTCATTTTGGGACGCGGTTGGCGGAGGTACGCCCAATGTTCATTCTATATCACTCGCCGCAGGGTACTGTACGTGGGGTGAGAGTGATCTAGATAGCAGAGAGAGGTGTGTTGAGAGGCACAGCCGATAAGAAGTCACATTCAATGTGCAATCGCGGGCATGGAAAGGGGTCCGTCCTCGGTTTGACTCTTTCAAAGGATTCTTTTCATCCCGGACATATTCCATTGACCACCTCTACCCTTATTTTCAGTTATTTATTATTTCTAACTCCTGTATTTTCAGTTTTATGTATTTTTTCGAATTTTCATGGGAGATTACTGACTATAAGTAGTAGATGACTGAAAAGGATAGAGAAAGCCTATTGGACGCGGACCATCTCGCGTTGCCGCTTATCTGAGTGAAGAGGGCAGCACCGATGGAGTCGCATCAATGCGCAAATCAACGGGCAAAGAATGGGTCATTTTCTCGGGTTCATGGCCATCTTTCTTGATCTTTTCTTCGGTTAGGGGCACTGACATCTAATAACTTAATTTCCAATAGAGCTGCCATTTTCATATAGCAAAATCGACTTTAAGGAAAGCAAAGCACAAGGTAAGAGGGAATGTCATTTAATGTTTTTTATCAGTTTTTCAGTCAGGAACGCAGTCTCATGGGTTAAGCGAATTCCTTCACTCGGTGGCGAATGAGCTGAATACGACCCCATTCCTGCTATGCGTCTGCTTGGAAAAGTTAACTGCGATAACTAGCCTCCACGAGCCATCGGCAGTGTGTGATCGTAGCCTATTCCATGAGCCCTCACATGGTTGTTGAAGAGCATTTTATAGGTGCCTCGACCAAAGGTGGCGCATTTACTGAAGAAGTCATAAAGACGATGGCCGAATTCAACGAACGACCGATTATTTTCGCTCTGTCAAATCCGACAGCAAACGCGGAATGTACTGCTGAAGCTGCTATTCGTTTAACAGATGTGAGGAAAATGAATATGACAATTTTACCCCTTCAAAAATCTGCCATTTCTCACGTTCCCACCCTTTCAGGGGAAGGTGTTATTCGCTTCCGGATCACCATTTGAGAACGTCCAATACAAAGGCAAAACATACAAGCCAGGTCCAAGGCAATAATGCCTACATCTTCCCAGGAATCTCGGATCGGGAGCTAGTGCTTGTTCCGATCAAAGCACATTTACAGACAGATTTTTTCCCTTCTAGTCAGCCAGGTGAGTGATGAACACTAATGGAACTGCCATGTCAACTACTGAAACTGACGAAGCGTTTTATTCAGGAGGTATCGAATAGTGTAACCGAGAAATCTCTGGAGAAATACTCAAGAGTTTATCCTCGTCTCAAGGACATTCGCGAGCTGTCAATCAAAAATCCATAAATAGGTAAGTTTAAGCGTTTTGGCAAGTAGGCCATTTATTCTACTTCGATTATCTATCATATATTCGAGGTCATTCTGGTGCCGAAGCTAGGTTCACGGACTTCACCACCCCGCTTAAGGGGAAGCCAGTTACGATAATCGAAATGTGCTAGTGAAAGGGCGCATGGGCCAGTAGATGGGTGGGATCTAAGAGGGAACGTCGGATAATGCGAACTATTTAAAGGAATCTTCCACGGAAAAAGCTCCGCCCTCATTACCACAGAAAACGATACCTTAAAGGAATCTTCCACGGAAAGAGTGATCATTTTGTCTTGTAGGATTAGTATTATCGAAACTAACGCTTATGTTCCGTTCTTTTTGCTATGCTCATGAGGCTAGGGGCCTAAGGTATCGTTTTTCTGTGGTAATGGAGGCGGAGCTTTTTCCGTGGAAGATTCCTTTAACGAAGTGATAAGGTGCGGAAACCTCTCACAAACGCCCACATTCAGACAAGCCCATGGTTTGACGCGTGGGAGAGATGACAACGGCAATCAATTTGGAGTGAAATTTAGCATCGCTCTCATATAGACTTCCTTAACACGTTGACGACAGCGTGACGCGGTAACGCGTCCCACTTTGCGCACCTCGTGGGACATTGTGACGCGGTAACGCGTCCCACCCAAGTCTCCCTTTTTCTTGCGCTTGTGCGACTTATTCCTAAGTCTTTGTACTCATTCTACAGATCATATAGTAATGCAACTATAAACGCTGTGGTCCATGGATAGGTTAGATATGCTTCAGTTTAGCAAAGGTTTTCTGAACCTTATGTAATCCTCAGTTATCTTCCAACTTCGACTTTTATTCTGGAATAAGCTAGCGAATACACTAAAAAGGAGGTATGAAAACAATTGCTTACAAGATGCGAAGTACAAAAAGTAGTTTTACACTTGGCAAGATTTGTGTTTCCGATTAAAACATTCAATACAAAAAAATTTTTTACACCTACTGCAACGCGTGTTGACCCTTCTAGTATTTTTTGCGGCCGTTGCGCGCCCGCGTTCTTTGGAAAGTGTTGCGTAACGACCAGAACACCTTCTTCTATAACCCCCCTCGAAAACCTTTGGCTATTCGCTCCATTTCATTGCGCGGTGTACAGTTGAACGTAACGAGTTGGAACATAGTCCCGCTCATCCTTTAGCATTGATTCGACCAGCTCTAATTTGAAGTCATTCAGTCGAATATTCCTTATTGCGTCTTTATATAACTTCCATGCATTGACCACTGCTGTTTGTGTAATCAAATGGAAGAAGATCCTTTTGTACCACTTTGTTGTTTTCCGCACGAACGGCGTACACGATGCCATTTGATCTGAATGGTCCACAAATGCCTTCATATCGTTATAGCTTTTCCACCACTTTCGGTTTCTGAGACAATCCGATTGCTGCGTCGTGTTTTGTGGAGATCATGTACAGATCTCTTTTATCTCTCCATTTGAGCACTAGTATCCCATTTCGTTTTTGCTTGCAGCACAGTTGACCTCTTTTTAGTTTTTTGTCCTTTATCTCTGTCGGGATTCCTCTTCTGTTTCTCCTCATCGTTCCAACGAGATGAGTCTTTCTTGAGATAAGCTTCTCGGCTAGTCCAACACTTGAATAAAAATTGTCTGTGCAAAGTGTGCGCCCTTCGTCGAGGTAACCTTGCATCAAATCCATTACAACCTTATCAGCGAGTGGTTCATCTCTTGATGGGTCTCTGCTCGGAGAGTAGAGATTAACTTACTTGAACACGGCTTGTAAAACGTGTATGTTTCGAGCGATAGTAGAGTTGGGGGAGGTTAGAGTTCACGACGCTGCGCGCAAGTTGCCTACACCCTCTCAGCGAGATAGTTTGAACGCGCAAATATCCAGCTATATACATATTTTGGACTGGCTTTATTGCTCTTGGCTCATGGATTCTATATCTGCGACATCGTTACCACTATCTCCGAAATCGGAAATCTGAAAGGCTCAGACAGGTTTTGTGGTGCGTCACCATCTGTTCCCTACTCCCAGCTACCATTGTATCTTGTTTCGTCACATTCCGAGTTAAGTTCCAAAAAACGCACCTCGTGGGACAGCGGGAGCGTAACGGTAACGGAATTCCCAGGCGCCAAACGCAGTCCACGAGTGTGAAAAAAGCCAAAACGTGCGCTTGTCGTCAACGGTGTTAAGTGGCAATGTTGGCAACACCTATGAACCAGTAACATGTGTTCACGAATCACCGTTGGCATGATGCCAATGTTGAGTTCACCAAAAAGCAATGCTAACAGTGAGGTCGCCCATCCTTAAAATCGGAAACAGACCAAAGGATCATGCTTCTTGAATTTTTGATCGTTCTCGTTTTTTTTCCATCGGTCTGGAACCATCGTTTCCGCCCAGCATCGATTTATCACGATTGCCCCCATCCAATCCCAAAAATGTCTGCCCTTTGAAATGCACTAATCAAAGTAAATACAATAGCACCTTCTTCCGCACAAATCACTAGATTGAGTATTTGTTTTTGCTGCTGCCAACCCAAAAACGAAATTCAAAAAATACTAACTCGCTGCTACCTTGAAGAATGAAGAGCAGGAATCTGCCACTGAGAAACGTGAAAGGTACGCCTTCGGATTAGGCAAACTTAAGCTGCTCCGTCGCATTGCGGGAGACAGGTGGACGAGAGCACCCCTTTTGCGGCATGGAAGTGCGCGAAAAAAGTGCTGAAAGCTGGCTCCACCTGCAATCCACACCCTAGTCCGCAAGCCCCACCTCACCGTCGCTGCGAGAAGAGCATTGCAGCTGCAGCACTGTTAAACTGCGACTCAGTGTCGCGCACCCCCTTTTGTGGTTTCAAGGGTCGTTTAACTTATTCCAAAAAACCGCATGGGGGAGAGGGTATCTTTTTTTTTTTGAAGAAAGGATAATGTTCGAAAAACACAGAAAGGGAGCGATCCAATTTACACCAAAATTCCGTCGTTGTATCGATTTCTGTCCTAGAGCAACATCAGTGGCACTGGTGCAATTTAGAATTAGTGAAATAACTTATCCAAACCCCGCCCTTCTCCATACCAAATTTGAAATCCCACTTGAAGAGAAGTGTGCTTCGCCTGAGGCATAACCGGTCGTCTCTTTTGATTTCTTTTCCGTTTTCAGCTCATTGCCCTCTTGGGCAGGGTCACACGGGGTCCTTCAGGTCGTGCCCCGCTCTTCGAAACTGTTTTTTGAATTATTCAGGAACATGTACTTATACAGAACACGGAACCAAGCTTCACTTCTTTTGAACTCCCTCTGAACGCCAAAAGAAGGGTGAAGGACTGGTTCATCGTTCGATCCGCCGTGGGGACAAAGTTTTGCATACGCGATAGACGCTTGCATGATGTCACGAAATGCTACACATGACTCCCAATGGATGCCATATTACCATCGGGACCAGGGTCGGTCCTATCGTTGCTACTTTTCGAAATTTTTTTACGACCCCCCTCCCCCAAGGTGGATTTGATACGACCCCCTTTTCCCTACCTCCACCATCTCCATCTTCCATCAAAACCCCGCCCACTTTTTCCTCCAAAAATGCCGTCGAGCGGGGGAGGGGGGGGGGGGGAGGTATAGTCACTCTGAAACAGTAAAAATTTACCAAAATTCCCTAAATTTCAGCCAATTTACCCCATTTCTACCTATAATCCCACTGCTTCATTTTCTAGGGGAGTATATACGCGCGCTGAAACGGCAAATTTTCTCCCGCGCCACTCCCCACTCATCACATGCAACTTCTTACAACCGAAGCAAGTACGACCCCCCTCTACAAACTCATCAAAATACGACCCCCCGTTGCTACTTGTAGCAACATAGGGTTGACCCTGCCTCGGGACTATCAGTAACCGTATGAGTAAGTTTTTGCCTGAGCCAGAAATGTGTGGCACTTCAGCTTGCTCAATCCCTTTTTTAACCTTGCGGTAGCGCATCAGGAAAAAGCGACTATAGTCTTCTGATCCATGCATGCACCCTTACATCGTCGGAAAATCGTTTCCAGAAAGTGGACACTCAA